GGCTATTTTTCCGCCACTGCTAGTCAGATTATTTTCTTAATTTTCTCATTCACTGACTGACTGACCGATAATCAAAACTCTAAGGCACTTCTAGCTGACATTGAAGCTTCATATTAAGAATATAATTAGTATTTAGTGTAGATCAAAGAAAATTAAATTATTTTAGAATTTCGTTCCGTTTTCTAGATACACCAACGAGAATTATGTCAAAATTAAAAATATTTTATTTAAATAAATAGAGTGATTCGGCAATCTAATTTATTATAACATGTATTATTTGTGGGATACATTATTTATTTTATTTATTTATTAACAATTCGTTGCATATACATAAATATAGTACAATTGACATAATTAAATAAAAAAGGAGAGCAACTGGCGGCCTTATCGCTTTCGAGCGATCTCTTCCACTGTGAGAAAAGAAAAAAAAGTATGAAACTACATAAGGTAGGCAAGAAGTGCAAAAATACATGTATTGCATATAGTTGTTGAGAAAAAGAAACTAAACAGGAACAAAAAAAACAAACTAATAAAGGACACATGAAAAAAAATTTAATACCTAATAATAAAAAGTGCACATGAATCATTATAATTTAATTTAAGAATTTAATTTAACGGCAGTCTCACGTCAGTTAGTAGGTATTATTAAAGTAAGGGATACGATGTGGACAGGTAATGTTTGTACAGAAGAAATTTAAAGGAAGATAGAGAAGGAGCTAAGCGAATAGGGACTGGAAGTGAATTCCATAGCCTAACTGCAGATACCTTAAAGGACTCGCCAAGAAAGGAGGAGTTATGACATGGGATTTCAAGGATATAGTTTTCGGAAGAGCGTAAGCTATAGTTATGGGATCTCCAAAAATTTAAAGTCATTTTTGAGATAGGAAGAAGTTTTAGGGTTGAACAGAATGGAATATAAGAGATGGAGAACATTATGTTTTCATGCGATGGCCAAGTCAATGTGCTTATTTAAAACAAAAGTTTTAATGTTTTTTTTATGTTCATATCACTTATGTTGGTTTCTACGCTGTTAGGTTAGCTAATTACGTTATAACTTAAGACAGACGGTCCCTCAAGTAGGGACTGAATCTCACCACTTAATACGGGGTTATGTTAATTAATAATTAATATTAATAGCATTAATATTAACTTCTATTTATTGATTTTTAATTGTTACTATTATTATGTGGGTCAAGAATATTGTAAATACATATATGGCGGCTCATTGGTTAGTACCCCTGACTGCGAACCCATGGGTCCCGGGTTCGATCCCCGGCTGAGACATCGATGTGATGAGCATTTGGTGTTGTGCTTAGGTCTTGGGTGTTTAAATATGTATTTATATGTCTATCTATCTATAATATGTAGGTATGTATATCCGTTGCCTAGTACCCATAACACAAGCTTCACCAGCTTAGCATGAGACTAGATCAATTGGTGTGACTTGTCCAATGTAAAAAAATACTTTATAATTATTACACATACATATTTTTTATCTTCAATAAAAAACATGTTTAGTTTCATCAATAAAAATCATATCCGTGGGTGATGTTACATTAGATAAGTTACATAAATATATTTAAGTTATTAGATATTTCGAAGCGCAAACAAAATGTTAGAAATAGTCGCATACTTGGAGCCAAAATAGCCCTTTAGTTTTTCCCACACTCATAAATTGAAATTTCTATGTTCTTTCTATTTCTTGTGCTCTGAAACATTTATTAAGTGTCACTTAGATTTCAGAACCCTTCAATAAGTCATGTTAGATTTTTTTATCCAGCGTCGCAACCCACTACCCCTAATTTTATGTTAGTTTTTTTTAATGGCTCTGGCACGGTTTGTGCATTAGCCAGCGTCAAGTATAAGATTTTTATAATCCGCGTGTTTTGTTTTTTTTATTATTATTATTACTATGCAAGTAAAGGATATTGTAAATATTTTCTAATTAAATATTTATCTGTTAATGAAGAATTTATAGTTTCATCAACAAAAATCATATCTGTGTAAGTTTTGAAGTTATACTTCTTTAGGCGCGTTATGAAAAATTGATGAGAGTGAAATTTGACGATGCGCGCGCACCGTGACACAAAATTAACAGAATGAAGTTGCCCACGGAAGATGCTACGGAATTGGACAAAATTTAGAAACAACATTCGAATAATAATAGAATAAATTCTAACATAAATGTTACACTTAATGTAAGAGAATAATAATAAATATTTATTTATTTAATTTTTCAAATGTAAACTGAACTTTATTGACTATAATGACTCCTTTTCCAGTCTTTGATTATTTAATTGTAATTAATTATTTGCATGCAATCAAAAACTATTTTTAATAATGCCAAAGAAGTATAACTTCTTACGCGCGTACATAATACCAGCTGCACTATTTGCTGGTATAACAAGAAACAATATTAAATTTAAATTAAAAAATTACTTTATAAATCAAACAATTACAAATTACGCATGACAAAAAAAATAAGACATCGTCACTTAGTTCATGTTCGAATATTGGAACACGTCCTGTATTCGAATGAGAGTTCTCGTCAAGAACAGGTTTCTTGCATTGGCTAACTGAGGAGCGACAATGTTCCGATTAATGGTGGAAATGTTGTATTGTATAGTATGTCACTGGCCTAAGTGTGTAATAAGTTAATTATTTAAATATGTTCGACGACCTGGTGGACAGAAAAACTGTGTCCAGTTTGTGTTTCCACCACACCAACTTCTTTCTATTTAGGATCATGTATATAATAAATAAATAAATAAATAAGTACAAGCATCCTTTTTTTATTTTACATAATCTTAATAATATATATAAATCTCGTGTCACAATGTTTGTCCTCAATGGACTCCTAAACTACCGAACCGATATCAATCAAATTTGCACACCATGTGCAGTTCGATCCAACTTGAGAGATAGGATAGTTTAAATCTCAAATTATAGTCGCAATTTTAATTTATTGCAAAATATTTGTTTATTATTTGATACAATTCTAACAGATGGCGCTGTGTTAAAATTATCAACGTTTCACATAAGCTGTCATCTACCTTTCACATAAGTTCTCCTACCGTTTCCCTTGAATAGTTTACTACTATGTAATATAACAAAAATCTTAGCCAGAGCAACGCTTGGCCGAGTCTACTAGTAATATAATAAAACATTGGAAAACCTCTATGCTTTGCATAAATTTAACCTTAACCTTAACCTTAACCTTAACCTTGCATAGTCTTGTTTAAGAGTGCGATATTTGCATATAAAAGTATGTTTTTACAAATGTTATCATACCAATTCGACTTAGGGTCCTTCAAGAAAAGAGCGTACCAATTCTTGAAAGGCCGGCAACGCACCTGCGAGCCTTCTGACAGTGAGTGTCTATGGGCGGCGGTATCACTTAACATCAGGTGAGCCTCCTCAAAAAAAGAAAAAAAATACAGATTGGTGAAAAAAAATAAACAAAAGTAATAACTAACTAACTATATCATCATAATCTCAGCTCATCAGTTACAATATTTTTACAATACAATAATATATCTATTTTTTTCTCATACATAATTATGCAATCTACTTGAAATTAATTTATTAATTTACATACATATAGAACAATACACTTACCAAAAAATAATTGAAAAAAACAATTAAATAATAGGAAATTAAAAAAAATAAGAATTTTAATTACTAAATATATCATTCTGATGGTTATTTAGAACAAATTTAAAAATTATAGGGGCTTATGTACACAACACATATTGTATTGCGCACGAGGAATAAATTATTAGCTATCTTTAATTTCCAACACATTATAGAAAATTAAGAACCTTAACCGCAACATATGCAAAACCTAAAATATATTTAATTAAGATTTATCAGTTCTATTCAAACAACTAAAAAGTGAAAGGATCCAACTTTTTTTTTATTACATCTTCCGATAAGTTTTCAAATTATTTTTTTGAGAAATTGTATGTTATTTGTATATATATATATAGTGGTATACCGTTCCTATTCACATGTGTAACCTCCTTTTGCATTGCAAATAATATTAAAATATTGTTACGAGCTAGGGGATCGGATAGAAAACGCCGTAGATTTCTTCAAGGGTTTATTTTCAATTAAATCTACGAGGAATTTGTTTACACTAAAAACTGGAAATTACGCCCAAAAATTCACTATTTACACCTACACAAAATACTTTCACTAATTACTTTAATTACACGCACTTCACACAGTACTTTATCACTTGTCTTCACTATATTCGCACTTTGTCACTTCGGTGTTTATCTCTTGATATCGCATTCAAAACTGATTACTGAACTAATCGGTAGCGTTTCGGCTCGCTTATCCCTGGGAACGATATTCTCCTTGTCCCACACCTAGAAAATTCCTTCTAGAATATTCCTTCATCAAAGGGGTATACCCAGGCCTGAAAACGCCTGAAAACGGGTTTCCTGACAAGTGTACCACTCGACTACACTTGTTTTGAAACTGTCTGAAAAAATGTTTCAGGCTCCTGAAAACTAGGGTAACATTCTGTAAATTACGATTTTCTAATATGTGATTGACACTCCCCTGAAACGGTCAGAAATCACATTTCAGCCTGCTGAAAAGTTCTCTACCTAGTGGAAAATCCAAAAACATTGTAGTCGACCCGTCTTGGTAACAATATTAACAAACCCAACAATGGCAGATAAGTTTACACGATGACTGCAAAGACAGTAGGTATCTTTATATTATTTTATCAAAACAATATCTCATCTATTATGTCGTATCAAGCAAAGTATATATTTGTTATTAAGGCAACTGCAGTACAAGTAACTTAATGCTCAGGCGTGTGGCACATCACCTCACATTCTTAAGAAAGTTACTGTTCGAGCTGCCCATAAAGAACAGATTAGTTACCACTAACCAATAATTAATTTAATCCTCATTGTGTACACACCGTTACTTATGTAATTACTATATAATTCGAGAATATCTAGAGTTTAGGTACATTCAGAAAAATGTCTTTGAGAAACTATTTCCTACTTGGTTTTGTGCTTTGCGGGGCTCTTGGTAAGAATTTCAGTTTATTAATTAATATTTTTTATAAATTAAATATAAATAGGTAATACATATTTATATATATGTATATTAATTTAAAGTAACAACATTTAGAGTTTGCTATTTCAGTTGTACTTTTATCCTATTTCTTTCATAATTAATAAAAAATGACACATAGACAAACAAAACTAAATGAACATTTATAAAAACAAAATAGATAATAAATAATCTAATTTAAGAAATATAATTATTTCTATACATATATATGTATGTGAATCGTAAAATATGTTGCTAATCACAAAACTCGAAGACGGCTGGACCAATTCGAGTCATTTCTTATTTATTCATTCCTTGATTTCTAGATAGGTTTCATAGAGAGACAAATAAAAACTAAGATTTTTATTTCGGAAAGGCGATCAGTCTCTATGGGGTTGCATATCAAAATGTTCTATATGTTAGTATGAAGCTTCTAAAAAGGTAGCCTGTACTATGCCAGTTTTCACTGTATCATAAAATCATCATGGTTATTCGTCGTTTGGTCAAATCATGCTAAAGTTCTTGGCACAAAACAAAACGTCTATATATATCCTTATAAAAAAAGCTTTTTGTGTTATGCTATTTTAAATAGTTTCATGTTAAAAAAATTACTTTCAATGAGAAAAAGATGTAAAATATTTCACTATTTCCATTTTAAAGCCGCAGAAATATCAAAGAGCGATGACCCCCAAGAACCTCAAGAGGACCAGGGGGACGGCGCCGGACGCGTCGTGGGTGGGACGAACGCACCAGATGGGGCTTTGCCATACCAAGTATCCCTACAGCTTGCAAATCATAATAACTTCCATTTCTGTGGTGGCGCCGTCATTGCTGACAGATGGATCCTCACTGCAGCACATTGCTTAAAAGAGTAAGCATATCTAGTAAAAGACATTGATTGCCTAGCGACTTGTGCGCAGTATTTTTAAATAAATTTATATGAACTTTTATAGTAAATTCTTGAATAAATTTTGAATTACATATTTGAATTTTAATTAAATTATTTCTATTGACTTAAAATTATTTTTCAGCATATCGGTAAAAAACCTAAGAGTTTTGGCAGGAACAAACAACAATAAGTCTGGAGGTACCAGATACATAATTGACAAAATTATAAAACATGAAAAATATACCGATAGACCGAATGTAAACGATATTGCTCTGTTGAGAACCAATGAGAAGATTAAATTTACAGAAAAAGTTAAAGCTATCGAAGTAGCCACGGAAGACCCCAAACCAGGGGACAAGTGTAAATTATCCGGATGGGGATTCACCACCGTAAGTAAATACTTGGGAATAATGAAGCAACATAATTTCTCTCTAGACATGACTCAGATAATTTGCGATAAACTCAAAATAAGTTTCATCATCGGACGTCGAGGCGGAATACGAAATTGCATCCGCAGAATACGTATAACCTCCACAACTGAGAGTTTTTAATGCAGCTCTTTCCGCGCACCACCACTATTTGCATATCCATTGTACGAATAAACAAAATAGTGACTAAACGGATTATCATGATGATAAATATCGTTGAACCCTAAAAATTTAGCATGGTAACGGCATAGAAGCAGATTGAACAACGAACACTGTAGTATTTCCGAACCAATTCGACCGAGCGTACCAATTATTAAAAGGCTGGTAATGCACTTGTGGGTTTTTTTTGGGAGTCCATGGGTAGCGGTATGACTTAACATCAGATGACCCTCCTGCCCGTTTCCCACCTGTTAAATAAAAAAAATGATACATATAAAAATTTGCAGCTCAAGTTTCGATAATTTCAAATTGTATTAAATCAAATTTTTCCAGCAAAATCAAAGAAACAGCCCCTACAAATTGCAATGGTTGGACGTAAAAATTATATCCAATAAAGACTGTAAAACTAATTTTATACGACGCTTTGAAAAGAGTTTCCCTGTTACTGAAAACCACATCTGTACTCTTAACAAGAACGGCGAAGGTACTTGCCAAGTAAGTAATTATTCTTATCTGCTCCCGCCAAGTCGTGCAATAAACTCCGAAATCCTTTTCTCGAAAGAAGTCTATTCAATCGCCCTATAAATTCGTTGAGAGTGGCAAAAGAAGCGTAACGTAACGTAGACATCGTACAAGCACGGTACCAGTAGTTTAGAAATTATAACTAGTCAAAGTTTGTCAATTTTGTCACTCACTTACTGACGGACAGAGCCATCGTCAATACTCTCAGGCACTTCCAGCAGACATAGAAGCTTCAAAATTATAATTAGTGTTTAGTGTGTAAATCAAAGAGACACTAAAATATTTTGCCATTTCGGTTCTATTATCTAAGTACATCTACTGCATAAATAAGTCAAGTCAATCTAATCTAAAACATACATCTAAAAATAAGATGTTGTTAGGTTAGCTAATTACGTAATAACTAAATACAGAAAGGTCCCTTAAGTGGGGACTAATTTAACCGATTTGGATTTATTACATGGATCTCACAATTTTACTGTAGGACTGTTTTCGTTTTGTTTGTTTGCAAGTTAAGTTTTTCATGGCATACTTATTATAATAATCGTCAATTTTTAGACATGTATAGGTAACTCAGAATTTTTCGTGTCCCACATTCTTCATCCCACAGACTTTCTTCTTTTGGCGTTTTCCACCATCCACTCTCTGTTAACAAAGATCTAACTGAACACAATTTCAGGGTGATTCTGGTGGATCCTTGGCGTGCAACAACAAATCTGTTGGTATCGTCTCATGGAACAATCCGTGTGCTCGAGGACAACCTGATGCCTATACGAGAACCAGCAAGTACACCACTTGGATCAAGGACACCATGGAGGCTAATAACCCCTAATTAAGTCCCGACATGTTTTACAACTATTTTTTAAACTTATTAAATATATGTCAAGGCAATGTGCGTGTATTTTTTAAGTTCGATCACGATTTGATATCGATTAAGCTTTTATTTTAATCAACTAGCGGCTCGTTCTAGCTTCGCACGGATGCACATTTATTTTTTAAACATTTTGGCATAAATACTAATGTATTTAGGAATAGTGTATCGCTGGCTCCCTTTGGTTACAGGACTTGATGATTTAAAACTAAATGATAACATAATAAATAACATCAACGGGTAATTTTAAAACCATTTCACTGTGGTTTAGAAAATAGGTATACTAATAATAACTAGATACATTATAAACATACTCATACTGTACCGTCTACAGTCATTACTGATATGTAAGATGATGTTAAGAAAGCAATTGTGTCTGATAATATAAGAGAGTGTATGCCTATAAGTTCTTATGAGCATAATCAGTTTGTGGATCGTAGCTGAATGCCGATCGATTACTATGGGCTAATATTCTATTGCGCATCTAGTTCTTAACGACTGTTGCCTATCTCTCTGTGCCATAAGCAGCTGCAAACGTTCGGCGCTAGATTCCCTTGCACGTGCTCGTGAAGTTCTGTCTGTATTTTCAGCAACGCGCTGAGAGCGTTCGCGCTAGATTATCTGGCTCGCGACTGCGATACGTACTCTCTCTGACTTGCGATACGATCTTAATTTGGCGGCGGCGTTGTGGCGAATTGATTTTATTTCAATTTTATTAAATTTGTAATATACTGCGAATGGAATGTCCCATTTTAAGAAACTAAAAAGTTTTCTGCAGTGTAACCTTTTTGGTTATAACGAAAAACCCTCTATAACGTAAAAATAGTAACGTTTGTTTAGTTTAACACAAAACAAAAACGAATTGAGGGAATTCGTTACAAACATACTTACATACAAACCTTTACTCATTATAATATTAGTATAGATAAATGTAACATTTCTATAATTTAATGATTGTCAAAGTGTGTCCTATCAAAAATGAATTCTTGTTCATTTTAAATGGGAGAACAAATTCTATAATATTACTGAGATACTTTAGGAGGCTTTACAAAAGTTTTGGTCAAACCTGCCTAAGCTAATATATTTAATTAACTGTGGAAATTGTCGATTAAATATCTTTATTTAAATACATTTTTAATCTGACTGAGTTTAGAGTATCGACGGGATGAACATTCAATGTTTGTCAGTTACAAAACCATTCTTCAATTTTCTGTTTTGTTGTTCTTATACTATTCAGTATTCGAAGAAAGCCGACTTTGTTTTATTAGAACCAAAGATTAAATTTACAAAAACTCCAATCTACATTTTAAACCACCCTTTTGCTATTCCGTAGCTTTGTACCACGTTGAAATTGGACCCTCAAGACACACACGCCCAAAAATTTTAGGCATTTGGTATTCTGATAGTGCCATTTACATCTCATGTGAATTAAAATCAGCCCTGCGATTCTGTATGCGGTCGCTCTCAAATCAGTCGTGGAGCAGTCATTTTATGATTTGGCATTCTGATAAACAATAAACTACAAGCTTCCACCTTTTCAGAATGCCAAATCATAAAATGACTGCTCCACGACTGATTTGAGAGCGACCGCCGATGCGAAAACCGCTGTTTGAGTTCGAAAAGTGAGTTACAGAATCGCAAGGCAGCAGTGAAATCGAATTTTTAAGTCAAATTATAAGTGGCTCTTGCAACATATCATTGATATGCAGAAGAAACGGGGTCGGCGATAGAACAGAGCCTTGTGGAACCCCAGCGTTCACAGGTTTAAGGTCGGAACATGCTCCATCGATGACGACCTTCATTCGCCGATCGGCCACACAGCTGGAGATCCAGTCGCATAATTTCTTGGGAAGCCCGTAGGCTGGAAGCTTCGAGAGCAGTGCTCTGTGCCACACCCGATTGATTTGTTTGTTTTAGTATATATGTAATAAATGTCAGGTATATCTGTATGGTATATGTACTGTATGATTTCATTTAAACATTGACCAACTGCTGATACGGATATCGTCGTTGTTCTAAATTTTAACACCTGAAGATACGTGATAAGTCAAAAGCTCACAATGATTTGTAGTTTGATAACAGTAAAAAAAAAATTAATAATAATAAAAAAAAATTAATACCTTAGCCCCAAATACAAAAATAAAAAATAGCTGTACCTCTTAGGGGCACCGATTTTCAAAGAAGGTTTTGAAGAATACATTAACTCGACAATATCAAAATTTAAAGATCTTTCTCACCGTCTTCTGGATATTACAGCACACTCAGCTTTGTTCATTTTAAAATTCTGCCTTTTTATTCCCAAATTAACTTACGTACTTCGCTGTAGCCCTCTATGGAATCATTCAGTTTTTTTAAGTGATTTGGATAATCTTTTAAAAACTTCTTTTTAAAAGATTATCCAAATGACACATTTTGAATGTTCGTTTTGAAACACCTTCTTGGAATCAAGCATCGCTTCCTATTCGCTTTGGCGGATTAGGAGTACGCAAGATAACAAGTGTAGCTCTTCCAGCGTTTCTCTCATCTGCTCACAAATCTAGCATTCTGGTAGGTAAAATCCTTAGATCTTATTCTACAAACTACGAGATTGCGGATTTAACAGATGCAAGAAACGCGTGGTTAGCATCCAACCCAGGCTTGAGTTTGTGTTCTAGCGTCAACTTTCAAAGGAGCTGGGATGATCCTCTTTGCAAATCTGAATTGCAAAAGTTATTAGGTCACATTTCAATAACAGACCGTGCAAGGTTGGTGGTTGTGGGGTCTAGAGAAGCCGGTCATTGGCTTAATGCTTATCCTTCGCCAAACACTGGCACCCTTTAAGACCCTGAATCACTTCGAATTGCCATCAGCCTCCGCTTAGGAGTGCCCATATGTACTCCCCATAAGTGTTCCTGTGGTTTTGAAGTAAGTAGCCTTGGACACCATGGCCTACTCTGCCAAAAGAGTGCAGGTAGTTTTTCTCGCCATGCCGCGCTCAACGACATTATACGCCGTTCTCTTGCCTCCGTCAATGTTTCAGCAATTTTGGAGCCAACGGGCATCGCAAGAGACGATGGGAAGCGGCCGGATGGAATGTCTTTGATCCCTTGGAAAATGGGACGGGCTTTAGTGTGGGATGCTACCTGATGACACGTTTGCACCGTCTCACCTCCTTCGGACAAGCCAAAAAGCTGGGGCGGCCGCAGAGCAGGCAGAAAATAAAAAACGGCACAAATATAAGAGTCTTTCCTCCAACTTCGATTTTGTTCCCTTTGGAGTAGAGACTCTTGGGCCGTGGGGTTCAAGTGCACAGGCGCTTATTAAAGATTTAAGTTGGCGCCTAGTAGATAGTACCGGTGACCCCAGAGCTGGCACTTTCCTGGCTGAACGAATAAGTATCGCAATACAGCGAGGAAATGCTGCTAGCGTTAATGGTACACTGCCACAGGGACCAAACTTTTTAAATTTGTTTTAATTTTAATTTTATTTATTTTTAAATTATTTTTATTATTACTTTGTAGGTTAAGAAAATTGTAAATACAGTATTTTATATGTTTGTATGTTGAAATTAAATAAGTAGATTACGGTATACTTCAAAATAAATATATTTCTAACAGTAAATTAGATCTGAATGTTGCTCTATCTAATTCATTTCTCGCTTCCTCTCAAAGTGGCGAAGACTCCTTCAACTCTTAAATTATCTTAGGTCTCATATATTTAGTTATCTAAGTAGTTCAGCTTGGTAATACATATACCAGTTGGTAATACATATACAATAATGAAGATGACGCTGGCCTGTAAACAATAGCTCTGTGTATTTTATTGTTTATAAATAGTTTCGGTGCATTATTTCAATTAAAAAGTAAATCAGTGAAGTTTGTAAAAGTTATCTTTGTGGTAGTAATGTTAAACAAGTCTTTTTTTATGAAAAAGTGACAATAATAGCAATAAAATATTTGACCCCTAACATTTTACAGAAAATCATATTTTTGCTTAAAAATACAATTCCCAATCAATCTACAAACTAATAAAGTGACAAACTTACCGGTAAAGTGCTATAAACTAGTGAACTACGATAAAAGTGAAGAAACATATAAATTAAGTGAATCCTTTGTTCTCCGATGTGCCTCACATCAGTTGAATTTTAACATATTTTCAAAGCAATTTACACAAATAGAAATAGATTGCTTAATTTCGAAGAGCACGTATTAGGCCTGTTGGCTAATGGTGTTATCTATCTTCCTCGGATTCCCACACATCTATTAAATGTCCCGGTTCGAATCACGTCGGTTCTAGCCATACATTTGTTAACTATTATTATTATTATTTTTTTGATAATGGAAAACGACCATGTTACAATTAGAAGAAAAAAACAAAGAAGATCTATTGAATCCCTTAACCTTTCATCTAGTTCTGGTCAATCGAACTATGACTGTTATGACACAGGAAGTTTACCAGACATTTCTACAAGAAGTTTATATGAACATTCCGAATTATTGTAGCAAATAAAACAATTAAAATTAGAATTAGATTCAGCACATCAAAGAATTGAAAACCTATTACTTGAAAATTCCACGAAAAATCTTGAAATTATAAAACAAAAGGAAACTATAAATAATCTAAAACAAAATTATTCTTCACCTTCTAATAATATTACTACCAACACCTTACTACAAAAGCAAAACCAAGAAAATGAGGAATTCGCCTGTAGTTCCTGCCCTTCCAAATATAAGGAACAGAATAAGCGCATTCTACAAGAATTTACATCAAATAAAACCACAATCAGAATATTAAGGAGGTGCCAATAGATGTCACTATAAGAACAACAAAATCAGTTATTCAAAACGATAATGTCATGACTTTAAACGGTCAAGCAATAGAAAATCAACCCAAAATAATAATATTTGGGGATCAGCAAGCTTGTGGCTTAACACATAAATTAATAAAATCAAGATTAAATATGCAAAAGGACAATTACAACATTACGTTAGTTCGTTCGTTCGTTTATAAAGCCCCATGCTACGAGTGCACAGATTTTAAGTAGTTGTATTAGTGAAATTAATAAGTCCATCATTAAACCTAAAGACATTATAGTATTAATAAGGTGCAAACGATAAACGCCCTTATACCTTCATCTTACAATTGTGTAATGTGTTATACCAATTTTTTTTTTTTATGTAATAGGAGGCAAACGGGCAGGAGGCTCATCTGATGTTAAGTGATACCGCCGCCCATGGACACTCACAATGCCAGAAGGCTCGCAAGTGCGTTGCCGGCCTTTCAAGAATTGGTACGCTCTTTTCTTGAAGGACCCTAAGTCGAATTGCGACAGCAAAAGGTGTTTATAACCAATGTACAATATAATACTCACTTAAATGTTAAATTAATTAACTTTCATCTAGAATCTATTATATCTAATTATAAATATTGCCACTACTTAAAAATACGCCACTCGAGGTACGATAAAAACACACCCTATTCTCATACAAAACACCTCTTCAACTTATGTGATAAAATAAACACGGAAATTGAGTACACTCGATATTATACATAGCATAAGACAAAGCCAGCGTGCAACATACTCACAAATTCAACTCACTCTGTACAATTAAAAATAACAAATTTTCTTAAAATGTCAGGTACCAATATTATAAATAAAAACCAGCCTTCCAGTTGTAATTTTTTTCGTAGCAACTAATGAGCAAAAGAAATTAAGACTCGTCCATCAAAATATAGCAGGGTTGCTTAACAAACAAGATTTAATTAAGGTAGCCGTCACAGACCTGCAAAGAAATTTAGGAAATGTAGACATTTAATAAAACACTATTTTGACCGGATTGAAGTTATGTATTATTATAAATTTACAACTATTTAACATAATTTTAAATTTATCCGACGTTTCGCATGCTTTACAGCGTGCGTGGTCACGGTGACTCCATATGTAATGTAGACATCATATGTTTCACAGAAACTTTTATTAAACAAGGAAGTGAATCCAACGTTAAGATAAATAATTATAGATTAGTCTCCTCATATTCTCGGCCTAATCAACGCCGAGGAGGTTCGTGCATCTTAATAAAAAAACAATTTAAAGTACAAGGAAATTTGCTACCCTAGACCCCCAATTCCTCTCGAATTCGATTATTGTGGCGTTGAAATAAGTAAATACAACTTAATAATAATATGTATTTACCGGACTCCTACTTTAGATGTAACAGCTTTTTTATATAATTTAGAACAACTTTTAAGTAACCTATGCAGGAAGCGCAACAAAAAACTAAACTGTGGAGACTGGAACAAAGACATTTTAAAAAATAATAAAAGTTCCCGCGAACTTATCTCTATTCTCCAAAATAATAATTTACAAAATTAGACTTAATAGCAAGTAACATAAATGACACACACTCGGACCTCCACTACTTGGCACTTTCAGACCATGAGACCGCACAATCGCTGACTTTTACACTCGAAGAAAACGAAAATTTTAATGATATTCCAAAAAAATGCCCTGCGATTCTGTAACTCACTTTTCGAACTCGCACAGCGGTTTTCACAGCGGCGGTCGCGCTCAAATCAGTCGTAAAGCAGTCATTTTACGATTTGGCATTCTGATAAACAATAAACTATAAGCTCCCTTCTTATTATTCGGCTCGACCGATACTTATGAAATTTTTTATGCATATTAAGTAAGTCTGAGAATCGGCTAATATGTATCTTTCAAACCCTTGTTATAAGGGGTGTCAGCCCCAAATCTTTTTTTGATGAATTTTATTTTATTAATTTTCTATTATGCGGCATTAAAAATACATACAACCCTTAATATTCACCCCTCTACGATCAACCCCTATTTTTTAATATAGTAGATAGTTATTTTTATTGAACTAAAAAATGTTTACTAGAAATAATATACATGGCAAAACAACGTTTGCCGGGTCAGCTAGTATATATATAAATTAACTAATGTTAGGTTACATAACTAGAGACAATCTTTGTTTTTTTTTAAATAAAACTCAACAAATATGCGAACGATTTACGATTGTATCACCTTAACATTTTGTACCATATTTTTGCAATAAATAAATTATTATTATTATTACCATACTGCAGACTTCTATTACATATAAATTGAAATATTCGTTTCACAGTCCACTGGCTGGCAAGCTATTCAGAGTCAGATGTTTTCTCACAGTGGCATTTAGTTGTTCATGAGATTCCATTTAGTTTCTCAGTGGTTATAAATTATGTTATATAGGAATCAATTAAGTAAATAATAAATTAGTTCTTTGATCGGTTTTCCTCACTACTCCTATTGCAGGTGGAAGGTCTGCTTTTACCCCATTCTAAACGATCCCCCATCACCCACAGATTGATCGGCACGAAGTCCCCAATGAGGTATATGTTTTTTCACCGTCGATACAGTAAAGTCAGTCAGATTAAAAACGTCTTAAAATAAAGGTATCGACAAGTTCCACAGTTAAAGTCTAAAGGATAGTAATAATATAGAATTTGTTGCCGCATTGCAACGAAAAATTATTTATTTGTACATTTAGTGCATTTACTGAGAAGCGATTAAAAGCTACGCATAGGACACACTTTTGCAATCATTAAATAATTATAGAATTAAAACATTTATTGATAATAAGACGTCATTGTATAACATCAATTGTCGGGACTTAATCAGGGCTTATTGGCCTCCATGTTCTTCTGAATCCAGGTGCTGTACTTGCTGGTTCTTGTGTAGACATCAGGGTGTCCTTTAGCACACGGAATGTTCCATGAGATGATACCAGAAGATTTGTTGTTGCACTCCAAAGTTCCACCACCATCACACTGAAAGCGTGTGAGATTAAGAGCGTAAGGTGGAAAATGCCAAAAAAAATTGAAATGAGGAAAGATAATATGTATTTTCGTATTACAACGAATAAACTTAAAAGTTCGTTTTCTTGGTTGTCCTAAGAACATTATCTCTGAGTTATATATATTATATAAATAACCAAAGCCCTTGGTATATATAATATATATATGGCGCTACAACATTTTAGGTCTGCGCCTCAGATTTCTGTATCCGTTCCGTGATCACTTCTAATAGGCAAGTAGGTGATCAACCTTCTGTTCCCAACTTTTGGGTCTAAGGCATGCCGATTATCCTCGCAATGCTTTCCTTCATCTTCCGTACAAATTCGGGCACAGACAGAAAGTTCATTGGTGCACAGCCAGGGATCAAACCTACGATCATAGGGATGAGAGTCGTAAGTTGAAACCAGAAGATTTACATAGACTATAGTTATTACCAAGATATATTTTAAAGAAAAAGTCAGAGTGTGTTAAGACGAAAAATTCAGAGTTATACGTCAACACGAAAATGGAGAATTATACTAATAAACGTGCTATGAATAACTTATAGTATAAGATCCCGCTATGCAACGACCTTCACCGAGATGCTTATTTAATGAAACTTATTTTATATTTAATTTAATATGTCAATAAATATAATCCATATGGGTTGCCTAGCAAATTTCAGTCCAGAGTATGTTTAATTAATATAATTTTTTTTTTTTTTTTTATAATTTGCATGTAGTAAATTTTTTGAACTTTTTTCAATCAATATTTTTAATCAGGGTAGTATTGTATATGTATCACTATAACCTTCTTTTATACTAAAGATGTATATATACTTTAGTGTCACATAAAAAATATACACATAAATAATTAATTGATTAAAAATAACCTAACGTTTGCATATTCTATGGGCTTCATACGTTCGATTGGTATAGAATTTATCTAATAATCATACCGGTGAAATGTTTAAAAAAATATTTTTTTTTTAAATTAATTAAACATACTCTGGACTGAAATTTGCTAGGCAACCCATATGGATTATATTTATTGACATATTAAATTATATATAAAATAAGTTTCATTAAATAAGCATCTCGGTGAAGGTCGTTGTATAGCGGGATCTTAGACCATTAACATGTACGTATACACTAACAAAACAAAAACGGTCCTAAAGTAAAGTTGTGATATCCATGTAAGTCGGTTAATTCAGTCCCTTCTTGAGGGAGCTTCTGTCTTAAGTTATTCGTAATAAGCTAACCTAACAACATCATCGACCATATCATATTAAAACCTCGTGTATTTTAAATAAATAGTATTTAAATATAATATGAAAATATACATACACTAAACAGTAATTGAGTTATAATTTTGAAGCTTCTATATCTGCTAGAAATGCCTGAGAGTATTGACGATGGCTCACTCTGTCAAGAAAATTTGCCTAGTTAGAATTCTTTAACTCACAACGAAGTTATGAGTCGAATAGCCTGACCTCTTTCGAGAAAAGGATTTTGAATCTGTTTGCATGACTTGGCAGCACCAGATATGAATAATTACTTACTTGGCAAAAACCATCGCCGTCCTTGTTAAGAGTACAGATGTGGTTAGCAGTAATAGGGAAATTCTTTTCATAGCTTTGTAAATAAGTAGATTTACAGTCTTTCTCGGATATAATTTTTACCTCCAACCATTGCAATAAGTTAGGACTGTATCTATATATATTACTGTTTTTATATTGCTGAAAAAAAATGATTTTTTACTATTTGAACTTATCAAAACTCAAAGCCGTAAATACTATTATAAATTCATATAATATTTGATCTTCCCCTGATTTTAAGTGTTATCTCTACCCATGGACAAATGCGTTGCCAGCCAGCAGTTTATTTTTGTAGTAAAAATACAATGGCTTTGCGCATAGTGGTGGTGCGCGGCAAAACCTGTCTTAAAAAAGCTCAGTTTTGGAAGGGACGTCGAGGTGATACGTATTCTGCGGAAGAAATTTCGTATTCTGCCTCGACGTCCGATGAGGAAACTTAAAAATTATCTGAGTCATGTTTAGTGAGAAATTATGTTGCTTCTTTATTGCCAAGATTTTACTTACGGTGGTGTATCCCCATCCAGATAATTTACACTTGTCCCCTGGTTTGGGGTCTTCCGTGGCTACTTCGATAGCTTTAACTTTTTCTGTAAATTTAATGTTCCCTTTGGTTCTCAACAGAGCAATATCATTTACATGCGGTTTTGTAGTAAATTTTTCATGTCGCACAATTTTGTCAATTTTGTATCTCCTACCTCCAGACTTTTTGTGATTAGTTCCTGCCAAAATGCTTAACTCATTTGCTGATATTCTGAAATTGTTTTTACGTCAATAGAATTAAATTCATTCGAAAGATAGTCAATATTTATTCAAGAATTGACTATAACAGTTCAAATAAATTTATTTTAAAATACTGTGCAATTTAACACAAGTCGCTAAGCAATCAACGTATTTCACTTCGCTTACCCTTCAAAGCAATGTGCTGCAGTCAGAATCCATCTGTCAGCAATGATGGCGCCACCACAGATGGGGAAGTTATCTCGAGTTATACGCTGTATAGATACGTGGTATGGGAAAGCCCCATTTGGTGCGTTTGTCCCACCCACGACGCGTCCGGCCGCGTCCCCCATTTCCTCTTCAGGGCCTTGGCGGTCATCGCTCTTTGATATTTCTGCGGCTTTAAAATAGAAATAGTGAAATATTTTTCTCTTCGAAAGCAATTTGTTAACGTTAAACTATTTACAATAGCATTACATTAAAACCTTATTTTATCAGGACATATAGACGTCTTCGTCTGTGTCAAGAAGTTTAGCATGATTTAACCGACCGACATGGTATGATCACGACTATTAATATGATTGATAATTATTACATAGTAACTGCCCCCGCGGACTTCGTTTCGCCCTAATATGATGTTTTACTTAGCCTCTATTTTTAGTAGCTACATAAAAACATTTCCCAGATTTCAAGAAATAAATAATAATTCTCGAATTGGTACAGCTGTCTTCGAATTTGTGGTTCATCTTGTTATATATACCTATATAGGTTCAATTTATTTGAATTATTAATCAAATTACATAAAAGTCTGAATTCCTTACCAAAAGCTGCCCCACAAAGCACAAAACCAAGTAGGAAAAAGTTCCTCAAAGACATTTTTCTGAATGTGCTAAAACTATAGAAATTCTCGAATTATAAAGATATCACACAAGACGTAACGCTGTGTTCACAATGAGGATAAAGTGAATTATTGGATTTTAGTGGTGGCTTATCTTATATCACTTATTAGAGTATAATTTTCCTATAACAATCTTTACACTTCCTGGGGCTGCCCAGAATCGTTTCAGATTTGTCATATAAACCCCACGCCAAACACTGTTCTGTATGGGCAGCTCTGACAGTAACTTTCTTTAGAATGTGAGGCGATCTGCCATACGTCTGAGTATCAGGCCACTTGTGCTGGAGTTGCTTTAATAGGGAGCAATTTTCTAATCTTATACTTTATGCCATTTCACAAAGACCTGCTTGATAAGAGATAATAGAATAAATATTGACACAATAAAAAAATAAAGTCTGTATTTGCAATTATCTTGTAAGCATTTTTCGACAACCACGAAGGGTTTATTATTATTTAAATATTATTTGCGATGCAGAAGGAGGTCCAGTTTTATTGATCTAAAACGAAGCAGATGTGAAAAGGAACAGTATGTACAACTTATATACGGAGCAATATACACGAGAAACGATATCGACATAGAATTTCTCAAAAAAAATCATTTGATAAATTATCTGAAAATGTGACAAATAAGTTAGAGCTTTTTACTTTTTTGTTGTTTTAATGGAATTTATACATCTTTATTAAGGATATTTTATTTTAATTTCCCACTAGGAGTATGTAGGAAATTAAAGTTAATAGCTAATAACTTATTGTTTACTGCGAAATACAAAATGTGTTGTGTACATAAGCCCCTACATTATGTTTAAATATGTTATATAAAAAACAACAGAATGATATATATAGTAATTACAATTCTTATTTTTTTAATTTCCTGCTATTTAATTGTCTTTCTCCATGAATTTATTTGTACGTCTATTGTAATATAATATGTTTGAAATTATTAATTATAGGAATAATTTCAGGTTGACTGCATCATTATGTATGAGAAAAACATAGATATGTTATCGTCATATATTGTAACTTATATACAGAGTTTTTGATAATATATTTAGTTATTACTTTTATTTGACAAATAATACAGCGATTTGGTTTTTAACTACTTTTATATGCATTTGTTGCGCTCCTAAGGGAGCGTTCAAGTATTACGTAACGCAATTTTTGGAGATTATTAACCTCCCCCCCCCCATGTAACTCGCCGTAACGTTTTTCAGTACCCTAGTACTGTACTCAAGTATAGTAAAACGTTTCGTGACCACCTTGTTTCTCTTTAGTTACTATTATGTGGTGTAAGTCGAAAATAATATTAACAATAACGCGTAATTCAATCCCCGCCCCGCATCGTAACGTTTTACTATAGGACCCCCCCCCCCCAAAACTCGTCACGTAATACTTGAACGCTCCCTAAACTGCATTTACATTTATACAAACCATAGTGATTTACTATAACACATCATTTTATTATATATTTATCTTAAATTAATTTATTAATAAAGATATCACACGGATCGATTTTTATTAATAAAACTACAAATATTTCATTTACAGATAAATATTAATATGCAGTAATTAGAAAATATTTACAATATTCGTAATCTACTTATACCTACCAGGAATCAACTTAAATTTTTACTTAGTGCGTTTGAACCCCTCAGCCGAAGAGTCTTTAATAAAGAAAATAAAATAAAAGTTGGTCGAAAGACTCTTTTAGTTTTGCCTATTCTGTCGTCTGTTTGGGCTCCGCATGAAACTAAATGCTGTCTTATGTTGAGGCGCAAACAGAATAATAATAATAATAAAAACTTTATTAATGACAGAAGGGTTTGTGACAGAAATCATAAATCGCTAGTTCCCACACTAGGGAGGCCCTGTGTAACTAGAAAACAATTATTACGTGGTACATGTTTAAATTTAGTGTTACAAATGAAGTGAATGAGTGAGTGTGTGAATAGGTGAGTATGCGCATGTATTTGAGAATGTAGCTGAAAGTTGTTATGATCGTGCACTGTGTCTGTGTTAGTTTATGAAACCTCAAAGTCATACCAAGATATGTAGTAATGCCTCTGTAGATTCGAAATCCAATTTGGCTAGTGTAGTTTCTATGTGACTTGCTAATTTATATCTGGATAGTTTTACGATCTCATAATCCATAGATTTGGAAATCTTGTTATAAGTTTACACGATTCCTTTATAACAGACAGTATGGCGTCTATCCCTTAAGGTACCCAACATTATTTGTCTTAGAGATGGTGGGGTACAATACATTAGAAACAAGACGGGACTTACAGTTTTCCTGCTTTATACTTAAAGGCTTGCGATTGACCAAAGCAGGTGTTCTCTAATGTATGATTCAGTTTATAATCAGGATTTCTGTTTTGGATATTTTATTTAAATATTGTTAGATACGAAAAAAAATCTTTTTTTAATTGTTTTTACATATTGTTCTTTAACCTTGATTATAATTGAAGTTTAACACGTGTTTTAATAATTAATATAACACTAGTCACTAATGAATAAATGAAGTAATGATGTCGTTGATGACTTCAACGCTGTCTTGTCATTTTTATTGGAAAAGTAGAAATGATGTGAAATAAATTATTATTATGAAATTTGTCCCTTTCATATTGTATGTATATTACCGATAACTTGTCGTTTCAATTAATCTTAAGATTTATTGATTTAACAATGTCGTGTGGTTGGCGTGCGAAACCCCTGACGAGCTTATAAAAGAACAAATGCCTTCACGCCTGCTCTACGCTCTTAATTTGAGAAATGGTAGAATGAAATAAATATATATTAATAAATATAAATATAAATAAATAATGATTCGGTTTATAACGGTCACTCCTTATGAATGTAGCGAATTTCTGTATTCACCCATAGATAAGAAAACTACAAGTATAACCATTTTTTTTAATTTTATGGCCTGTTAACGAGACCTTTAAGCCAAGTCTTATTTTCGGTCACTAAATTCCACTTATTTTTCTTCATTTAATTTCACATGTTATTCTTATTCAAACGTTCCACTTGTTTTCTTAAATCTTCCCTACGGTATTTTTAACGTATTTATATAATGCACTATAACAATTTTTGTTTTTGAGCAAATCACACAACTGGCGGCGGGAGGGAACATTAACTTCCATTATTTCACTTGCCAATAGTAGTCTATTAAAAATGAATACAAGTATTACCACTGTTTATTCCATAGACAATCAATAATTTACCATAAACATTAAGAGATCTACTAACAAAAATTAAAAAAAAATCTATTTAATGTAGGTATATTATTTTAGTTCAATAAAAAATACTATCTACTATAATAAAAAAACGGGTTGATCGTAAAGGGGTGAAAATGAAGAGTTGTATGTATTTTTGTATGATGTATCCCAAAAAAATTAAATTCAAATAAAAATGTCTAAAAAATAAAAGTTTAACATTAAGGGGCAGGAAAAATTTGATGTTGTCCGATTCGCAGACCTTAACTGTACGAGATCTGATCAGTATATTATGTAGTGTATGTATTAGCTGCATTAGATAACTAAATATATGAGGGGGTGAGACGTAACAACCCAACGGGTCCCTAAGCCCTACAGATGTGTTTAACAGAAACCTGCTGCTGCGATCTCATTGCTAGAAAAATGTGTACCTGAATGTAATATTAAATTTCAGTTTAAACATATAACTTGTAATGATATCGTTAAAACTTTTAAGCTTAATAATTAAAAAAAAAGTAAAGATATATGGGGTATGTCAACAGTCATTTTAAATTCCGTTATTAATGTAATAAGCTCTGAATTGTCTATAATTTTTAACAGATGTATCGATTGTGGAGTCTTTCCGGACGAAATGAAATTAAGTAAGATTACACCATTGTTCAAGGCAGGTAGTGAGTCTGATCCGTCAAACTTCAGACCTGTTTAAGTGCTCCCCGCGTTGAGCAAAGTTTTTGAAAAGATAATGCTAGACCAGCTTTCTTTACATTTTAATAAAAATAAACTCTTACATAATAAACAGTATGGTTTCACTAAGGGTCGCTCCACAGTCGATGCCGGTGTGAAGTTGATTTCGGACATATTTAACGCCTGGGAAGAATCATATGATGGAGTCGGCGTCTTTTGTGACCTGTCAAAGGCCTTTGACTGTGTTCATCCTGATATACTCGTTGAAAAGCTTCAACACTATGGCGTTGATGGCAAAGCTTCCAGCCTGATGAATTCATATTTAAAGGGAAGGATCCAAAGAGTTCATGTCAATGGAGTCACCTCTCCGGGTTCGCAGGTATCAATGGGCATCCCCCAAGGATCGATTCTCGGGCCTTTCTTATTTCGGATTTACATAAATGACCTCCCATTCTTTGTCAACGAAGTTCATGAGATGGTATTGTTTGCTGATGACACTTCACTTCTATTTAAAGTGAATAGGAATAACGTATTATTGGACGATGTAAACAATTCTATCTCTCGTATAGTTAACTGGTTTAATGTAAATAACTTACTGCTTAATGAGAATAAAACAAAATGTATTAGATTTACAACTACTAGCGTAAAGCGAGATATTGGTAACCTGAAAATTAAGGACAGTGAACTAAACTTTGTTGACAAAACTGTTTTTCTAGGCATAACAATAGATAGTAAACTCCAGTGGGGCCCGCACATAGAGACTCTTTCGAATAGGCTGAGCTCTGCAGCATATGCAGTAAAGAAAATCCGACAGTTTACTGATAAGGACACGGCTAAAATTGTGTATCATAGCTACTTTCACAGCGTTATGTCGTACGGTATTCCACTGTGGGGTGCTGCTGCAGAGGTTCAATACATATTTGTGCTGCAGAAGCGGGCTGTTCGGGGTATTTGTTGTGTTTCTCCGGGGGAGTCGGTACGGAATAGGTTTAACACGTTCGTTGCATTACGAGATCTATCAGATCTCTTGCAGGACTTTTGTATTATGCGTTGAACATAATCGTGTTTTTTCACTCCTTGCG